GTGAGGCCCATGAAGTCCAGCTAACTGATCCTCTACGGGCCCTGGAAAAGGCAGGATGGAGACTCAATCTACACAAGAAATCAAGAAGTTGAAAAAACTTACATTGGGATGCAAGAGCCACATGTTAAAAACTACCCATTTCTTGAATGCAGCTGTATTCACTATTTCTCCACAAAATACTATGGGTCAAATGAAATATTATTTTTTACAGATCAGATGGGGAGGAGGAAAAGAAGAAGGAAGGTACTGCAAAAGAAAGAAAAACAACCCTCTACTTAAAGAAAGTATGAGAAACGGGTCTGCAGAAGCAGTGGATCAAGATTTTCAACGAAGAGGATTTATGGAGGCAGAGGTTTTATCTCCAGGCACAGGTTAGCCTTGTATAAACCCTAACCCTTGTTTTAAACAAACTGACCCCAAATTACCCATGACATTTAGACTAGAAGAGAACCTTGGTGGTAATTTTGTGATAAGCAAGACAAAGCATTTGGAAGGGAGAACTTTCCAGTGAACAAGATGATTTGAGTTTGAAAAACTTCCTAATTTTGATTTATCAGATCCCCAAAGCACCCCAGGTTGGAAATCATAAACTTGCTTCAGTTGAACTTGGCATAGACCTTTAACTAGTTTGTTGGCAAAATTATTTAAATAAAGGTTGTCTATCTTTCCTTTTTCCAAAGGTACAAAATTGTGTCAAGTAAAAAGAAAGCCTGTACCACCCTGAGAGTATAAAGTGAACCGAGAAATAAATTTACAAGAACAAAGACATACTGTTGTAAGAACACATTTCTTCAACGACCACAGACCCAGCATGAGCACGGAGTACAGCTACGCTGCACCTGAGAGCCCAGCTGGTCTGGACCCAGAAGTAACAGAGCACCAGCAATGTGCCAAATCTAAGCTGACAAGCTCTGCTGGGCAACAGAGTCCAAGGACACAGTGCTGCATCTCCAGGACATTTTGCTTCCACACCTGCACGAGTGTCTCTCTGTGGTGTTACGTGCTCCTCTGTGGATGCACCAGTACAGCTGAGGCTAGCTCATGTATTTTCTGCTGCTTTTCTGCGATGCCAATCTGGTACTCACAAGCTCTTATTTTCCTGCAGATCCTTTTATAAATTGATTTTCAGGCAGGATTTGAATGTCATGGGGCCTCTGTAAGCTGGATAAGAGCAGTGACCATATCAAGGCTTTCAGTTAGGAACAATATAAGGGAGGACAATTATAACCCACAGTTAAGCAAGGCAGCGGTGAACACGGATTGAGAGGAAAGGATACAGGGGGATTGGAACAAGAGGGACCTCAAGAACAATAAAATAGGATGAACATGCACCCACCTCAAATGTATAGATGCAAATGTACGGCAGCCTGGGGAACAAGCAGGAGGAACTAGAGCTCCTCACACTGTTCCTACAGCACTGTTGGAATAACAGGTATGGTGGGAGAGCTTGTATGTGGTGGGAACACCATGATGGATGGATACAAGTTCCTCAGGAGAGACTGCAGAGGAAGAAGGAAAGACTGAGGAGGCTCTTTATATGAAGGAGCAGCTTTGTGATGGATGGCAGTCTGATTGAGAGCGTGGGTCAGGATCAGAAGACAGTAAAAGTGACAAGGACGTGACAGTGTACTACAGACCAGCCCATCAGGGTGATGAGGACAGTCGAGCACCGGAACAGGTTGTCAGGAGGGACTGTGCAATCACCATCCTTGGAGATTTTCAATGACTGACTAGATGGAGCCCTGAGGAACCTGGCCTGATCTCACAGCTGACCTCACTTGAAGAGGCTGGACCAGAGATCTCTTCTCTGAATTATACTGTGATTCAAAGTCTAAAGGACAGAATCCCAGACAAGAACTGTAGTTTTGAAATTGATGCAGAGGAATAGAGCATCTGCTACCAGCCAAGCAGTCTGTTTTGTGACTGTGTCTCAGCCACAAGCATCACACACAGATGCTCATCCAGCAGCCCACTGTAGACCAAGGCTGCAGATTCCCAGGAAGCTCCAGAGGAATGATGGAGCAGTGGCAGTTGCATCAGAACCCATTCCTGCAACTCTTGCGAGCATCAAACATCCAGAAAAAAAATATTTCTGGCAACAAATGTTAACTCAATGTTAACGTCCCAAAAAACATTTTCTCAGGCCAAGGAACTTTTAAACATTTTCAGTTTCCCTGACCATTTAAGAGACAGGGAATTTGAGACTGCACTAAGAAATATTCCCAGTGAGGGGAAGGGGTGGGGGGGGCAAAAATGTATTTAATCCAGTGATGTTCTTTACATGTGTCCTTCCCAACAATCCTACCCTACAATATAACATATCAGTGCCGAGTTTGAGAAGTAACTAAAACTTACTGCTTCAGCCTTGCCAAGACATTGTTTACATGGTTTTGGATGATATGAATAAACTCTCAAGTCCAGACTGTCACCATAGTCCTTTCTTGACAAATATCCAACAGTTGTTTTTACTGGCAAAATCATATTGATTATTTCCAACCATCTTCAACATGATAAGGCTGCTGCCTTCACGAAATTATAATCACACCATTTCTCTTGATTTGCTATATACACGCCCTTTAAGTCTTGGTCCTCCTCTTCTGTCTGGTTCTTCCACAGCTGGCCTCAGTTCCACCAGCATCACACAGCTCTTCTCCCAGACACAGTTCACACTCTAGGGAAGCTTACGGTCAGATCTCCAGCCCCAGCGAGCAGACTCCTCTAAGAAAGCTGGCAGTCAGGCTTATTTGTATCATCAATGATAGCTGCTCCTCGAAGTCTCCAGGGCTTCACTCAGAAGCTGGCCTCCAGTGCCCTGGACTTGCAGACATCTGAAACAATCACCTGTGCACCTCCATTGCTACAGCACTCCTTGAGGCTTCTTTCTTTACTTTTTTCAGAAATTGGCCTGCAGCCATGACAAGGGCTCAAACTATTCCCAAAAGGGACAGGCAGTCTAAACAGAAAAGCGATGCTGAAAGGTGCAGCATGTACAGTAACCATGTTCTGCCCTGCCTTTTAAGGAATACTAAGCAGCTTGAACACCAATACACATTTACAAATAAAGCACATGCTTCAGTGTGGCTTAACTATACAGCCAAATTACAAAGTTTATTGGTATTTGTCTACAAGTGTCCTGTGTCTAGGTGTCAAAATTCTTGCAAACTCTTTCCTATCTATGTCAGATTGAACCCCTGTGAATATAATGCAATTAGGTATACACTGCCACAGTTCTGCTGCATGCTTCTGTCCCTGATAAGCCATTTTCTTTTACTGCACTACAGTATTACCCACTTTGTTTAGCTGGGGAAAAAAAAAAAGTCACAAGTGATTGAGTACTGACCTAATCTTCAAAAAGCTTCAAAGTTTCATTACTGGGGAAACAGCAGAAAATATATCTCCAGGTTCTGTTAAGATTAAGGTAGCAACAGACTCCTTACAGCATCAGTGCAAAGCCTGCTGTCAAAGGCTTTGTGTTAGCACCAATAACAAGTCAGAATAAACTTCATACCAGCCTCCAAAAAGAAGTTCACACACTAGCACCACGATTTAGGCATAAAACTAAGCTTGAAATTCAAGGCTCAATATCGAAGAAGTTAATACAGTAACTTCCTGTGACCACGATAATGACTATGCGAGTTATTATTTGAGAACAAATTTATGAATCAGAAATGGACACATTAATTTCCAAATAAAAATATGGAATTGATCTGTAACAGGGTCTTCTCATCACTCAAGGTCTAACCCTTTAGTCTGCCAACTGCTGGAAAGTACTTTTCCTTGCCCCATTTTTACAAGTACTTTGGAAGTGTGCATTACTGCCCACAGTATTTCCAACAAACACCTCAGGGAAAAGAGAAAACACACTTTTTAACTGTTTAGGCTACACCATTATAAAGAGAGTCTACACATGTACCACTGCAACATTAAAGAATCTAAAAATACTAAAATAAAACAGTAGTTGTCAACATCTATATTACATCTGTATGATAATCTTCAAGTTACAGTACTTTCTTGTATGGCATTTCTGTTAAGAATAAAGACAAGTCTGTAAGCTCGTTATCACTGTTTAGTTTGAATGCAGAAGTGGCTCTCAAACTTATATAGGTGTAATAGTCACAAATGTACCTGGAAAACCTATCTAACATTTGCCTGTGCTCCATTTCCCTTTCTGACTGATTTCCTTCCTTTCCTCCCCTCTCCCCACTTCTCTCTTTTGTGGCAGATGGACAGAAAACCCAATGCTTTAAGTCCATGAGAAGCACTGACTCTCGCTGGCCCAACTGATCTGGGAGGGGGACAGTCACCATTCTGCTGAATATCTGAAAAACGAGGCAAGATGGAACAGGCCAGCATGATAGACAATTCCCTATGGATCTCTGGAAGGGACAGATCCCTCTGCAAGGGATAGTGAGAAGGCGGCTTTGGTGTTGCCTAGTAGGCAGCAGCTTTGAGGAGAGCGATGAGGCAAGAAGGGCATGCAAAAGCCCCACCTAAACCTGAAATACAGGTTTAAAGTGAAGGTAAAGGCAAAATAAGAAACATGAGTGTATATACAAGTGTGGGTGGGAACCAGTTCCATGGGTATGGAAAACAAAAGAGATGACTGAAAAAATTTGAGACCAGGTGGTAAACATGAGAGCAAAACCACTTTTCCGACATAAAACAGTTGCACTACCCTTAGAGAGCAATGCTTTATGAAACTGCAAACCTTACTATCTTATTCCATTCTCTTTATTTTGTCTTGGCACTATCTACATGAATGGAAAACAACTGCAAAAATAGATACATGCACTTTGGTTTTAGTAGCTTCCAGAACATGACTGGAATGGAAGCAATGGTTCTGACATTCATCTTCTTTTAAACAGTGGTTTCAATGAAAGGAGATTGTTTCTTGAGCTTTTATTTAGCATATCATTTGTATATTAGCCAACAGAATTCCCAAAGGCTTTTTTTTTTTTTTTTTTTTTTTTTTAGAGTGCTCAACTGAAGGCTACTTCCAAAACGTATCTGTAAAATTGCATTTCAATGCTCTTCATTCATAAAACAGATGGAAAAGTGAAGAGTAAGGAGGAGAAAAATGTACAGAAAGAAAGCAGACCTGTACAAAAAGTATCACAATGGAAAACAGAGGTCATTTGACTCTCCACTTCACCATTAATAGAAATAATAAAAGTAATGTTATTAAAAGTAATGTTCTTCAGACAGTGTGTCACATTCAATTCCTAAAACAGAATATCAGCTACCGTGTTTCTGTGCTGAAAGTCACTTTTCCACTGCTTTCTGTAGACTGTTTGTACTATTTAACTTTAAAGAGTCCAAAAGGTTTCTGATTGTTTCACTTCCTATTCTTTTCACCCTGTTCTTCATCTTGCTGGGATTACTTTTTCCAAATGGTATCAGTAGGGCTGCCAGTCCCCAAGGTTCTTTATTGATCATTTGCTGAGTTTTATCTTCTTTCTGTAAAATCCAGGCAGTTTCCCTGGCCATAGCTACAAATTTCTCCAGCTGTGGCTGATTAACATTCTTGCTGATATTAAGGTCTTGTTCAAAGGGATTCCAGATATAAAGAGGAGACGACTCAGGTTTATTTACTTCCTTTCCCTGCAGACAGTGGAAAGAAAAAGCCAAAGTTGCATATGTGCATTATAGGGTGAGCAAATAACAAAACACTTGAGTTATTACATTAGCATTAGAAGTATTTTGACCTAGTACAGAACTTTTTGAAAAAAATAGTCATTATTAATCAAGTTAATTTTCCAGTCAACTTGACTGTATGACCCCTGTTCTCTGAATTCTTAGTGGTGTTTTTTCTTGCTACGTTCAGCTTAGATTTCCTTCAAGGCAAAGAACACACAACTACAGCTTAGCCTGTCTTTTTGGCCATTCTCCCATTTGCTTTTCCACAAACCTCAGACCCCCCTCACTGTAACCTCCTACTCCTACCTCCATTTGTGTATGGGCAGCACGAGTGTGTCATATTAACCTGCAGAGCCCAGCTTGATAAACTACTACAAGCACTTAAACTGCTCAAACCATTCGTCTCACAGTGCTCATTAAAAGCTAGTATAACAAAACAAGATTACTGTCTTGGCTTAAATTCCTCCCAATTCAAGTCTGTCTTTTTTAACTACAGAGCTATTCAGGTCACGGTCCACTATTGGACACTTGGTATAGTACAGTGCAAGTTGTTGACAACTATGTAATTTGCTATTTAAATGCACTTCCATCTCAATGCTTATCAGTGCTACTTAGCTGACCTGCTCTGTATTGCAGAACCTCTGCAAGCCTTCTACTGCAAGCTCTAGCAGGCACCTATCAGCTACTGCTAGTCCAGGATGTGTCCACATACATGCTACCTACTTTTGCTCCAGGGCCAAGAGGACTGACTAGTTAAACAGAAAAAAAAAAAAATCAGCAGCACAGGCATTGCCCCTGACTAGCTCAGGCTCCAACACGTATATATTTTTGCTTGCCTTTTTCAAGGCTTAATGGCAAACAGAAGTTCTCCTGCTTAATGAATCAGTTTTTAGGATCAACCTGCAGTGACAAAAAGAGCTCTTATGCCAATAACCCACAGTGCCCAAGTAGGAAACAAAACGCAAACACAAGTGTCCACACAGTGACATGGCACTGAAACCACCCCATCTGGTAAGCAGCCCAGCAGGAACAGGTGCAAGTTAAGGCAGTTACATTTATATATATTTCTATTACACTTGCATGCACACACATCAATAAATAGCATGACTTAAAACATATAAAGTGTGATAGTACAGATCTCTTGGCAAGCATAGGTATCATGTTATCCGCCATGCTTACCGAGTTGTAAGTACACTTACCGTAGGCCAATGTAAACTACAGTAGGAAACTCAAATGCCAAAAGCAAATTTCAGAACTCAGTTATAAGTTTTAATGCAGACATTGTTTGGTTCTGGACTCACAACTTTAAATGAAAAGGCTCTTGGCATAGAGAGCTTGTCATAGACTTTTTCTATGACATACATGGTGACATTTTAAAAAAGTTTTCCTCTCACAGAAGCAAAGCATCTTCTACTTTTTAAAACCACCACTTTTATCACAGGGTTGTCAGAAAAAAATCAGAGTCTGTGCTTTCCAACACCTCCAAGTAATGACACTGTAATGTTCTTAATGGTGCTGTAAGTGATTAGGCTCCAAGAGAAAAACTCTCTTCCTTCACAGGAATGACTCAGTTTCTGGATACAACCAATTCAAATATACTTTGTATGTACAATTAAAAATGACAGAAATTGTTGCTTAGCATATGTAGTTTCTCAAACGTCAGACAGAGAAATTCAATTGATAATGATGAGAGATTAAAATTAATTTACCTTTCGAAGATTTATGGAATTCTTTCTGAAATCAAAGTTTCCAAAATATTCAAAAAACTCACCCAACAATACATCTAAGGGGAAAAAAAAAACAAACCAAACACAATAGCCATCAGTAAAATTAACGGAAAGTTTATTATCAACATGCTCATAAAAATTAAAAACCAAAGTTGATGAAAATTTACCTACCAAGTGTTTCTGTATTTTCTGTAGGTTTAATCCTGCTTAAATCACTAACAAATGAGCAATCATATCCTCCAATTACATGCATGTCTTTGTCATCTGAAATAAAAATTCAAAGGCATATTTTGAAGTGATAAACAATAAAATGCCATTGTATTTAATAAAATTCAGGTAACAGACATTACTGAATTCAGTGAATTCTATCATATTAAGTAAATCAAATTAGGAGTTCACAAAGTGAAATTTCAAGTTAAGATTCAACTTAAGTGGTTAAAGGTTTAAAAGAAAAAAGTCTATATACAAGCAAAGGAAAAGAAACATGAATAAATGGCATATTTTCAAAAGCCTACAGGAATAAGGTATATGATATCTTTGTATCTGTGAACTTACTTCTTTTAAGTAACAAATCTGTTATTTCTGCATACAGAGCTTTATTATATACTGAACAGCACTAATCTCTGAGGTTAATACCTATAAGATGGTTTCAAAAAAGTTAGACCCAAAGTGTCCACCATATTTTTTTTTTAATTAAGAGAATAAGGAATATTCCTGTAAAATTTCAGGACCAGTGTTTTGGTTTATGTTTAAAAATTCTATAGAATTCTGACGGAAATGCTTGAACTGATTTTAAAGCAACTGAACACAGATCTTTTTCTCCACTCAAAGATTCCAAGGAAGCATATCAATAAGCAGAAGGCATGAGTGAGGAATTGAGAACTTAAGGTGTCATACTCTATGCTTTCATTAGATTTACTGAAGATAACACACCCTAAAAGGTATGCATGAAACAGCCAGAACAGCTTGTTTGCAGAGATTTAAGAATTGTTTGCAGATGGCCTGAACAGTCTCAAGGATATTACAAATTTTGAGGGGAAAAAAAATAGCCTCTTTTAAACATTTGGTTTCTATAAAACAATACACATCGTATCAATCCGCACAAAAACCTTAACAACTGCAGAGACATTTGAGACCTTACAAGTCTTCTAAAAACCAAAATACAAAATAAAGAAAAAACAGTGAGCATGGGAGCACTGAGCAAGTGAATGACTTTTAATTATCTTTAAGTAGAATTTAGTATTATACTGAAAAATGATTTGCCTTTAAAAATGCATTATTTTCACCCAAAAATATCCTGAAGTAAAACTTGAATATTCCCTCAAACTGCCCTCATACAATATGCATTAGTATTTGAGAGCATAAAGAAATTTTGTTTATTCATCACTTTAGAGAAGACAAATGGGAAAGTCACTTCAATGAACACATGAACAGCTATCCTTACCTGCCAGTACTTTAAGTTGGTCTAGAGTTGGAATGATAGGTGGTGATCTCCTTTGCAGAAAAAACATGACCATCATGGTCAGAGAGAAGTTTGTAATCCAGGTACCAGGAGCACTATTTGTAAGTCCATGAACACGGGCCCAACACCGTACACTGAACACTAGCGCTCTTACACGGGAATCCAGACAGCCATAGATATACAGGAGTTCTGAACTTTTTATAGCAATGCTTAAGAAGAAATTAAAAGTAAAATACAAGTAAATAATGAGAAAATAGTCGAGTAACAGATGCAGTGTTCATTGCTCAGCCCTAGAGCATCAGTTATAAGGGAAGAGGGTATCCATAAAAAGAAACATTTAACTTCATTTTAAAAGAAATAGAATGCCTGAAATTGTCCAGGATTAAATATCTGGTAGTTTTCCATAACAAGGATACAGTGATGGGTAAATAATAAACAAAATAAAAAAAACACCATCAAGTACCCACAAGTGAAACTATGCAGAATCAAGGTGAAAAAACACCTTAGCTACAATTGCCTTTGAGATACATTAGACAATATCTCTATCCTAATATATAATAAAAACCAACTAGAAATTCTTTTACAACTTTAATCTAAAAAGTAATAAAATAATGCACTGAAAAATACATAAAGTGCAGAGACACAATAAAATCTTCAAAACAAGTCAGATAGGTAATTTTCAAATTCCTGATGTTTGGTCCTGCTGAAAAACAACTACTCCAAAAGGATAAAGGTTTTTAGATGGATCAGTTTTATAGGCTTCATCCTATGGTCGTACAAACATTCATGTAGTGTACAAACGGGAGGACAAAAAGCAGGGGGAAAAAAAAAAATGGAAGCACAGTTTGAGAGCAAAACTTACTTTGGGGTCAGTTTTACTCTAAAGTGCTTGTTGAACCACAGAGACAAGGGTTTTTACTCCTAATCTTGCACTGAATTCTTCTAAAAATCCACCACGGGATTTTTGGGGAAGTTTACCATGTCAAAGTTTTGTTAACACCTGGACTTCTAAAGTTTCCACTGTGAAGTGCTTCCTTGTGTCCACAGAGGTTGTTATTACTCCAGATGATAACAAGACAACACACACAGCCCCAACCAGGCAAACTGTCAGCAGAGAATTACAAGGAAGTTTGCACAGAACTACATGCTGACTTTCGCTGTAGCCACATGTACAAAAGTAGTTTTATTGTAAGACATTTGCTCAGTACTGCCTTAACAACTCCAGCATATTCTGAAACAGAACTTTGGGTAATTCAGAAAATTCAGTATAGGTTCTGATGGTATCTAATATAGACAAATCACGAAATCTGCACTCAAAGTTTTATCAAAAGTATTCTGGAAGATAATCACTCATGTTTTACTATTCCCTAACAACAACGAAAACCTAATTTTTTATTATGTACCCCTATGCCAGGCCTATGGATGTATACTGCATTAAGATGGGTATTTCTTAATAAAATAAGTGACAGCAAAATAAATTATATGCTTTACTATAATCCAAATGAGAGCAAGCTGGAAGAGGAGAAAGATGCCAAGAGAGCTATTTTTAAGAAGCCTGCTCCCTCTATTGGGCACTGTTGTGAAAGGTCCTAAACGACAGTAACACTTTAGACTCCATTTTCTGATGCAGAAAGTTAGTTTAGCATTCAGGATACCTTGTTAGCAAACAGGTGGGTGCAGACCCTCATGAATTAAAAAAGACACCAAAATAACTACAAGGCAAATCACTGAATATTAACACAATGGAGATGCTTAATCTGAAAAGCAATCAAAAGAAAGATGTGCATGTACCCATACCCATGAAGGGAAGTAATGACTAACGAACACTGCCTTCTTCTTTCTTCCTTATAAGCTACTATACTATAGTATATACTACTGTATAGAGTGGTTTTCAAGTCTTCAGTTTCAGCTAGCAAGCATTTCCTATGCTGGAGAAAGATATCTTAAGCACATTAAAACCTAAGCTCTAGAAGTCAAAAATACCCTTTTTACTTTCAGAGCCAATATTCACATTTGTTAAGAACACAGACAGGAGTAGACTAAACAGTTTTCATTACAGGTTTTCAGAACATAAGTACATCAGTATTCTTCATAAACTTTTTAAAACCAGGTCTCACCTGTTGCTCACTGACAGATCACACTGGAATCCTGTTGGTTGATGGGAAAATTTCACCAGAGGGCAGCGAGCATTGAGTATCTTCTGCACGCTCACACATCCAGGGCCAAAATTATCGAGGCAATCACCAATCACAGAAAGAATTTTCTGATTTGCTAATCTTTCAGATGGTAATCTTTTCATCTGATACTCCATTTCGAAGGGACCTTTTTTCTAAAACAAAATTTTAAAAGTAAACTGTTAGCTCTAGAACGAAAGAGACATTTAAGAATACTTTTGAAAGACTACACCAGTTTGCAAAGAAGTCTGTACAGTGAAAGACTGAAAGACGAGAATTATTCAAAGCAGCCCACAGAACTTTAAAAATGTGAAAACATACTGCTTTTTCTTCTACATTCTTTTCCACTGATTCAATTTTTCCAGGTTAATGGTGATCAACTTACTGTAAAGTTACTTGTTCAGATGAGGGTATAATACTACTACATCCCACTATTGCCTAAAACAAGTAATTCTGGAATTCCCAAGAGAGCGTATATCCCTCTGACTAAAAAATACAATTAAATTTAAAAGTAAGAGGGGCAAAACACAACCAAACTACCATTAATTTCAAACCACCGGTAATTTCATTTCAATTCCTCAAAGAACAATGTGTTATTAGACATAGCAGTCTTTTTCATTTAAAAAAAAAAAAAATCAAAATTTTAGCATGCAAATTGCTTAATCCATCAAAATAAAGGTAAATTTCTGTCAGACTTAAAATAATCACATCACAGTTTTTCCGACAAATAAAAAAACCCATGGAGATGTATTTTGACATCAGACATAAATTTTCCTGCAGGTCTCTGAACTGTCATCTCTGTAGTTTTGTGTTGGTTTAGGCCCTGCTGGGACCAGAGACCACGTTGCCGTTGTCCCTCTCCCACCCTTAGACACAAGTAGGGCACAAACCCCAGGTTAAAGTAAGAAGAAATTTAATACAACAGTGTAATAAGCAATCTGAACAACAATAGTAGCAATGATAACAGTAAACAGTAATAACAGTAAACAAGATAAAAGATATACAGAGAGATACCGCAATGGATACAGACAGCCCTGTGCTTCCCGCGACCAAAGCCACAAAGGAAGAAAATTCCCACGTTCCCACACCTGGACCTGACCTCAGCATGGTATGAATAACCCGGCTGGAGATCTCTTCCCCCTTCTCTGCTGGGGAAACTTAACCCTATCCTAGCTGAACCAGGACAAGTTTATACCTCAATAAAATAGCTGCATACCTATGAAATCTTTGTTCTCTTTATAGTCTCTCTACATTTTTAAGCCTCAACTAATTTTACTTGTTAATCCAGTACCCGACACTGACTTACCCTCCCCCTTGGAACATGTCATGGGGGAATGCATACTATACAAACAGCACCATGCAGTGACCTGACTAGTCCTCTGAGACTCAGAGGAGGTCACTTTTGTTGTCATCAAGTTAGCTAGTACAAAGAAAACTCAGAGACATGAGAAACAATTCAGAAGTTATGGACCTTGCAGCCTTTCCCATGGCTGAATTTCTGAGATGCTCTAGCAATCACTGAGGCTCTCCTCTTGCCAACAGCTCTCCAGGCAGCACAGGTGTTGGAACATACTAGAAGAGAGGTCCCCAATCCTATCTGGCCATGTAGCCGCATGCTACAGCAGGGCTGGCTCACAGTGAAAGGAGCCTGTAACTATCAACACCGAGGTAGGTAACAGGAAAGAAAAAGATGGGGACTCAGCTGACATGTAGGTGTGGTGGTGTTCAGACCTTTATGTTTGTGACAAAAACCACAACATGCTTTCCCAGACAGCAGTTCAATCTCTCTCAAAAGCTGAATGAAGACTTTTTTTGTAATGATATAACAGACACTCTTAATTGATAGGACCTCCATAAGTAGCTTTGGTTCCACCTTTTGAGGGATGAAGTACTGATACACTTGCCCCAACCCAGTAGTTCTCCCCCTGTTCTTGCCATGTTGCCCAGAACAGCAAATGTAGGTACTGCTTTGGGGTAAATTGATATAGTACCCTCAGCAAGAAGCATAACTGTTTTAATACAAAAACGGTAACTCTAAAAAATATCACAGAACTCTGTTTTAAGTCATTCGCTAATCTCTCAAACTCTTCACGTGCTAAAACGCCCTATCTGTGGTCAAACACCGTACTGATAATCCACTCTGTAAAGAATACTCCCGCTTTTGCTGCTTTTTTATTTCACAGCTAGTAATCCGTTTACCATAAGACTCAAAAAATGTTACTTAATGTAAATAGGTCTGAAATGCTTGGTCCGCCTTCACTGCTGGTACCTCCTGAAAAACTGCAGTAGTAAAGAAATCAGAAGATACCCTTTCCACTGCAGCTGCATCATCTTATAACCAAAGCTACCTCCCCCTGTCTTCACTTGTTCTAAAACAGTCAATTTATGTATACTAGCAACACAGTTTGCCAGGGAGGATATCATTATCCCTATAAATCACACTGCCAACTACATGAGACCTGCTTTCCTCTGAAGTATTGTCTATTGCCTATCATAGAGGAGATGCACTCAACATCTTGTTTCCCTACTGTATTGGGTTTACATGGCAAGGTTTTGGTAGTGAGGAGCTGCAGGCCATGGAGAGGAGCAGGTTTTCTGGCAGGACCTGTAACCCTGTGGGGAACCCACACTGGAGCAGTCTGTTCCTGAAGGACTGTACCCTATAGGAAGGACCCACGCTAGAGCAGTTCTTTGAAGAGCTGGGGCCTGCAAGAGAGAACCCATGCTGGAGCAGGGGAGCAGTATGAGGAGGAAAGATCGGCAGAGACAAAGCTTTATGAACTGACTGCAACCCCCATTCCCCTGGGCCGCCCGAAGGGAGGACATAAAAGTGCTGGGTGTGAAGTTGAGCCCAGGAAAAAGAGGGTGGTGCTGAGGTCATTTTGGGTTTTTAATTTCTCACTATCCTACTCTGTTATTAACTGGCAATTAAATTGATCTTCCCCAAGTTGAGTCTGTTTCGCTTATGACGGTAATTGGCAAGTCACCTCCCTGTCCTTACCTCGACCCACAATCTTTTTCACCTTATTTTCTCTGCTCATCCTGCTGAGGAGGGGGGAGCGAGAGAGCAACTGGGTGGGCAGCTGGAGGCCAGCCAAGGTTAACCCACCACACCTACAAAGCACAAAGCTCTCTAGGTGCTAGCATCTTAGTCTCCCATTTTGACTATGTGTGATTTGAGACACAAGAGTTGCACTAAAGGTTTCTACACTTCTTCACAGGACAATGCTTTAATGTATTGATGCAGCAGACATGCCCATGTTTTAATGCTTCAATATTTCAACAAAACCAAGAAGATCATCAACTTTTAGTGTGTAAAGACATGTAAGGCAAGAGCCTCACTGAACCACACAGAGGACAAGTATGGCACAGAGCCTATTAACCTATCATGTAAACAGAAAATTATGCTCAGATAGTAGCCCCACTGGCTTTTGCTGCAGCAACCCCATAGTAATGTCTGTCAACCATCCACAAATAATCACAACTGCTAGTAACCCCGCCCATCATCGAGTAACTCTAAGTTCATAACAGAACTTTTATTTCTACAGAGGATGAATACTAAAGAAAACAGCTAGTTACAAAACATAGTTTGAAAACAAATGTTTTATACTTGAAAGCTTTTTCCTTCAAAATTTAAGCGGTAACTACTGTTTAAATGTGAAGGGTTCCCAGATTTTAACACTTCCCACACATGCATGATGCTCCCGCTCTTCAGCCAACATACTTGCTTTCATTGTGTTTGATCACTGCAATACTACTAAAAAGTATATAAATTTGAAGGAGTATTTCTTTAAAAGTGACTTACATGGAAATATACAAATTGTACAGAAAAGCTAAGGGAATTTTCAGTCTTCAAAAGCTGAAGCCCATTGCCTTTATTTTTTGCTTTTAAGGAAAACAAAGCTAGTTTTTCCCAAACTGTCACCATACAAATAAAAAAAAGAAGTTTTCAGAATGCCACAATCACATACTTAATTACCCATTCAGAATCCATGAAGAATCCCAACTTCTCCACAGGGCATTTCTGATCCAACTCTCCTTTCTTCCTATCTTGATTCTCATCTCTCTCTTTCATATTTCGTTCTCCGATCCGAAAGGATATTTACACTGTTCACAGTCAAGAAACAGCAACAAGGGATAAGACCCTTCCAAAAACGCCTTGTCTGATCCCTTCCCATTCTTCATGTCAACACGCACATGGACTGAGACACAACCTACTCTAACTAACAGTTATGATTTGAAGTTGCTCAGATACCAACACTAAACACATGAACTTGGTTACATAGTGCAGATTTCCAAATCATCGCATGGGTAAAGCCATATTAAGATGAAATTTAATATGTGCATTGAAAAAGGCAATATTGTTGACTGAATATTGCTTACTGGCAGTCTTGTAACCCTCTGGCTTCTCAAGATAGTGATGCAAATTCTGTACTTCCGTCAGCAAAGCAAGTGAGTGTATTTCAGTTTCAAGCCTCTTACACTTGCTTAGTAATCACCACTTGTCTTGGTGCTTACTGTTGTATTATTAGTGAGACATTTGAATAATTATGAAGTATCTTATGAAAACTCTGACAACTGAAAGTATCTGCATTGATCTGGCTCAGTTCCTGGTTTGCTCCTGGATGCCAGTCCCCAAAACACCTACAGTCCACATACACCAGCTTATCCTCAGGTTCCTTTCAGAAGTAAGCTAACTAATTCCCTTCACAATGAAAGTGAGGTGCTGTTAACATGGTAATTTCCTCTGGACAGACAACACAAATATGAACATGTCTGCCATGTGTAACTATGCACCAATACTATCCCACGCTTTAAACTTTCACACCTCCACACACTCTTATATGTGTATATACACATATAAATATGCATACCTGTATGTAATTCAGTAACTTTTCTGTAGAATGGAGTCAATTCTTTAAACTAAGGAAAAGAACCTGACAATCCCCCCAAAATGCATATGCACACAGGCATAAAATGATGAAAATGAAAGCCAAGCTTTAAAACAGCATGGATGAAGCCCAGCAGCTCCAGAGAAGACAACACAACAGTAGGATGGAAGGTCTGACATTGCTGAATCACTTTTGGAGGATGAGGGTTTCTTTCACGGTGAAATTCGCCCTAACAGTACAAAGTCCAAGTAAATGCCAAGTAATTTTCTTCCTACTGTAAGGAAGATCTCTTTCATGACACATCCATCTTTTGAAAGTCTTCAAATGCAGACATTCAAATAAACTTATTCAGAGTTTATAGTACAAACTCATATAAAACCTAAATATAAATAAACTGATTCCAGCAAACGAGCTGCGCTGTTGAAGAAATCCAACAAACTGAAGATACACAGAATAATCTTACCATTTTTGTAACATGCTTTTGTGTGTCATGGAAGTCCAGAAACATGTCCACATCACATCCCAATTTGCCAAAGGTGTTGACTGAAGAGCCAAATGGCCTTACCACGCTGTCTGGAAAATACGCACGTGCGAAATCCCGAACCAGAGAACAGGCCAGAAATCGGAGCCTGATATTTTCCTCTGTAAGCTGATACTCATTCAGTAGAATGTACATCTGACTGCTTATCTAGTTAAGAAAATAAACACTGTAAAAATACAACCCATCTTCTATCTATTAATGTATATTTTCACCTACTTAATATCACTGCAATTAGATCTTTTTTGATCTCAAACAGGTTTATTTCATGCAGAAAAAATATTTTGACAATTAAAATTACGATTTCATCTATTTGTTTCAATGTAGGAGAACCATTCATACAAAATTCTAACAGGGGTTAATTTTTTTTTAATAAATTGCTTTAAAAGTTGCATATGACCACTTGCAAATCTGAAATGGACATGGTTCATTTTTAATTGAGAGAGATGCAGAAACCTCTACTTACACTGTCTGCGTGACAAAGCTTTTGAATAAGGTCTTTCACTGGAATGTGAGACTGAGGAGAGAGGTGAACTGGTGTCTCTTCAGCAGCTTGACCCACTGGGTTTTTCAGCATAAAAGTAAAAATTCTAGATTTAAATGGGACAACATGACGCTCTACAGCACTTGGGATTCCAATAGCATCCTGCAATGAGGCTATACTCTTCTTTTCCGAAAATTCTATTAAAGCATGGATACCCTAAAACATAAAGAATGGAAATAGACAGGGTTAGATAAATGCATACAAGCCTTGAACTGATTGTACTGATATTATTCAGATCTTCCTGGGAGCATTAAGACAGTTTAATATAACAGTCCTGAAGATGAATGCTAGGTTCTGTACCTCAAGACTTTTTAGACAGCTTTTCACAAGAAATCAAAAATATTTAAGACATGCTATTCTTGGCAGTAAGCACCAAACATAGAAGTTGTAAAATGTATTTATCTTCACAACTGTAATGCTCAAGAAACACATAAAAAAGAGTTAGCTCTATTGTTAGAACAGTGAACAGTGCTATGTAAAAGTTTAGAAGGTTTAGTGCAAAACAGGTTGCTAGCTAGCCCTCTGAGGTATGCTTAGCTGAGAGATGAATAAAAATCTGTTGCTCTGCAACTTCCAAACATTAGCAAAGATATAAACCAATTTAATATACTAATTATTTATATTTGCTTAACTTTCATGTATGAGGCCTTGACCAAATGCTAGCATTTCTTTTTGTTTAAGTCTAGATTTTAGTTTATATTGTTAAACACTTACACGATTTTCAAACAAGAAATGACTCTTAATGTTTCCATGACTGGATAAATACCGCAATAATTTCTTTTCGTTAAGTTTTGGTGGACACTTAATTAAAACGGTCCGTTCTGCTTGCTCCAATCGTTCTGTTTGGACCTCAGTGAATGTCTTCTTTCTGATACTGACTTCAGCATCTGTGAGAAGAAATAAGCATCAAGGCTTTTCTACATAAACAGATTTTAAAATTATTTTTGTATACTAAAATCTCTTCCTCTGGATTGAACAACTGAACAAAGGTTTGTCCTCGTTCTCTAAGAGGGTTACGTCATAAGCAAACACAATCAAGAATGAATGAAAGACAAAAACATGTCTCTCACAAACACATACATTTGTAAGAACAAGGAATACGAAATGGATGAAGAAATACTGACTTTTCTGGATGCCACAGGAAACTTGATGATACAAGGAACCTTTGCTCTTCTTTGATTTGCTGTTCACCATCAAAAAACTCAGCACACACACAGTCCGACTCTGCATACAAGTCTGAAAACAGCAGCTAGGATATGAGGCGGAGCTAGACCTTTGGCAAGCTGCACTGAAAAGATAGTTTCTCTCAGCTACCACAAAACCAGCACTTTCACCTTTGGAACAATTCAACACTTGCTTATTTTCACAACTCACCACCTTCTTTTACAGTAAACTCCTACTCAAATTTTTTGTTTAATACTATACTTTCATCTACTCTACTACAATAAACCCACATATCAGTCATATCTTACCACACTACTGGCAATCTATATTGTTGCTGACAGACTACAGACTTAACATGGAAATGAGACATGCTGGAACATCCAGAAACACACAAACTTTCTTCTTGATTGCATACAGAAAAAGGGGCCATGTCCCAAATTTGAAATCATAATCACTTCCCTGCATAACTCTCAAACTAATCCATTGACCACATCACATTAGCAGAGCCTGTGAAGCTGTTACCTGTTAATACTGCCATTTATAATTCAGACTGAGAAGCTGGAGAACATGCAGTTCTCTGCAGCTACTACCTGCTAACAGAGATTCAACTGAGAGCTCTTCATTCTATATTTTTGATTTTGAGGAACCTGTGGGATATTGTGGCCTCAAGAAAAATCTTCTAATGACATTTGCTAGCATTATCTTCTTAAAAACACTTTTATTTTACAAGTTTATGGAGCTCTCACACAGGCTTGTAAGTAATAACCTAAGTACTTGTTTGAACAGCTTGGTTTTATATATTTTTTTTAGACCAAAGTGCTTTATGAAGATGATAAATATCCTGTTTTCCGAAGGGGCAAAGAAGTGTGAAGTCACTGAGATGCAGAAAGAACAAGTCCCGTGGATGAGTGCCACAGTCAGGAGATGAACCCCCATCTTCTCACTCCCACAGTTCTCTGCATTAGGCCTGAGCAGCTATGTGATTCTTGCCTAACTTACTACCTGTACATGCTTAGTTACTCTAGTGGAAGACATGCCCTGACATCTCTTCCAAGCTCTGATGCCATTTGCACAGTCCAAGCGTAGCACAGATGTAGATGATCATATCCAAATGGTGGCTGTGAACATTTTAGATGCGTGAGAGGCAGTCCACTTTGCTTTCTTCCCCTGTTCCATACAACGTTTCCAGTTAGTGCCAGAGGTTCACAATTAGTTGATAGAGGTATACACCAGCACCGCTGCTGAAAGAAACAGCCCCATCCTCCACATGGTGCCATCTGTACACAGATGCTAATGCAAGCATTCGCATAGCCACGTAGGAAACCAGGTGAAACTAATGATCAAATGTATACATCAAAACAAGAATGATTAACTGAAATCTGGAACTGTTCTTTAATCCAGTCTGTTGCACATTTGTCAGTACAAGGATATGAACAGCAAAAGACTGCTGGTTTTGTGAAACTGTGATAATACAGCCTAATCTTCTCCTCCCTTTATAAAGAGGTTACTACCTAAAGTTTTTCAAGCTCTGAAAAATGACCATAAGTAGAAGCACAGGCCTCAGGCTCACAAATGCATGAACTGTGAGTTACATAGTACACCCAAGCTACAACACATCAACAACATGCTCAGTATTTCTTGGCTTGTCCTACAAACACGGCAACAAGCAAACGTCACCTATGTCTTTTTACGGGGGTCTCTCGGGAATAGCCACCGTCACTTACCTTACCTCTAACTGGTACCTACGTTTAATAAACCAAGCCCTAGACAAAGACAGCAGATTCTGGCCCCCTAGACTGCAGACGGGAAGGCACGGGCAGATCTCGCTGTCATTGGGATGCCCCCGGCAGGGGCTCCCCGAGCCCTGAAGGGCAGCAGAACATCACGCCCGGGACGCCGGTAATGCCCAGGTGCCTCTCCCGGAGCCGAATCGCCCGCCGCAAACATAACAAGCGGCCACCCCGCCCTCGCCTGACCTCATCCACACACCCCGAGAGAAACAACCGTGCCGCTCCAGCCCCACACAGCAGCCTGGCCCTGAAGGAAACATGGCGCGGCGACCCCTACCTTCACCCGCCTCCTCGGCGCCGGCTGCCTGCGGC